TGTCCATATTCCATATTACAAGAGTTGTACTTATTCCTTCCGTACTTCCTAAAATCCCTGTATTCAATTTGCCCCAAAATATTACCATTCCTCATTTTCTGACTGAAAAACATTTGAAGTTAATATTGCTATTACCATAAATTTTACAAGTTTTAAGCTTGAGATATTGGCAAAATCTAATCTAATATTGTAATTTTTTTTTAAGTCCTAGAAATAATCCACTAAGTTATTATCCTTGCTTGGCCCTTGTTGTTTTGTTTATTTCTAGTTTTTGTTTGCCTTAAAGAGGTAAATTTCAATTTTTTAATTTTTTTAAGGAAGAAGAATTCAAGTAAATACAGGAAATATGTAGAAGACTTTTCTGTAAAAAGGGTATCTTTGAAACAACTAGTAAGCATTTTGTTACTAGAAAGAAGTTGCATTTTCCCTAGGTATAACTTGCAAGCCATATTTTAAATAATGACAGCAGCAATATCCCTTCATGGGTGTACAGCAAAGGAAAATATTGTATCATTTTTTTTCTCTATTTAGCAAAAGCTTCTCACTAACACAGATAATAACAATAATGCAGTTAAAGAAAAAAAAATCTCTTGTTTAATTTCATTTCACATTTGGTTGTTTTTATGTAAGTTGCATTCTCCTAAGAAAGCAATATTTTTTTTTGTGGTAAGGTAGCAGCTTATGCAAACACAGCATTTTACATTCAGATCTATCATTCAAACAGCTGTGAATATTTATACTGGTGGTAATTAAGTTTGTGATGGTATTAATTTAGATAAGGAAAGCTGACCAAATCCCAAAGTGCTACAGGATTTTTAACATATGTCTGAAAAAAATAATCAGAGATTTGTAAATGAAAATGTGGTGCAAGATCTCACTCTAAAGATAGCACCTTCATGATGTCTAACCACTGCACCTAATTACCAGTCGTCTGCAATATCATCATGGCCATCAACTAATACAGTATGAAACAAAACCCTCTTGTTCAGAGAGATTAAGATTAACTACTAAGTCAAACTGACACTCCAAACAAGGAGATAGCTGGCACAGCCTCACCACCAAGTGCATTAGAGAGGTAAATAACCTCATTATTCAGCAGATTAAATCTGATGGAGAGTGTTGTTCAGAGTATAAGTCTCCTCAATTAGAAATTTACAGCTGAAACTTCCAATAGGAAATTGCAATACCAAAAATTTTAATGGACTTCTCAACAATGAAATTAGACATATTATATTATATATCAGATCCAGAAAATTGGGAAGGTTTTGGAGATAATCAGTGCAGGTACTTATTCATCCATTTAAAAAAGCCAATACTAGGTCTTCAGAAACATTTAGCTTTTCTATTGCAACTGTGGTGTCCAGCTTCCATTCCTGTAAATTTCCCTCATCCTTTCTAAAGTGTAGAAATCTTCCAGTATAAATGAGTTTCTTTGGATTTTACATATATTTTCACATATTTTGATGCCTGATCGTATGCAGACTATAAAACACTGAGCAAGGAAGATCCTATATTCCAGTCAGTGAGTTGTACTGTAGCAAGATTTATACACTGATTACCTTTGTAAAGCTTCTATGTGACCAGCGCAGATAAAATGTATCCCTTTCTGGAGATCATATAATTCCTGAGTGGTCTGGATTGCATCTTGTTTCAATTAGTTCTGGGGTTTTTTTTTCAAATCCTTGGCACAGATATCCAGCCAGGATATGGAACTTTGGTCTTTCCTTACAGTTTTGGCTCTGGCTTCAGACATGCTATCTACTCTGCAGTGGTAGACAGGCAGGAGGTGAGCTCAGACGCTGGACGCTTTCCCACTTTGAGCACTCTGCTCAATTATTAATCTGCTTTCATGAGAGGCAGGGGGTAGCCCTTTGGCACTGTAAATATGAGCCAGTTTGTGCCACTTGTTTTTGAGTTGTTGTTGGTTCTAAAGACCCCTTTATTATGACAGCAATGTAGCTGTCAGCATAGCAACTAGCTTTTCAGGTTATCAAGTTCTGTTTGCATTGACTTTAAGATTACCTATTCCAGTTTTTCTGTTCATACCAATCTCTGGCAGGGGGCATGGCCTCCTCTGCTCTGAGATTTTTTTGGAAATGATGCACTGCGGAAGGAGTAACGACAGCTGAGTCATGGTGTTTCAACTCTGAAGGGATTTCTGGATATCTTTTTCCTTTTATTGGAAAAGGAAAAGTTAGACAAAAAACAACTCAGAGAGACTACCCAGATTCCTGTGATTCACAGAATTCTCAGAATTCACAGAATTACTAGGTTGGAAGAGACCTTAAAGATCATTAAGTCCAACCCATGCCCTAACACCTAAACTAAATCATGGCACTGAGTGCCACATCCAGTTTTTTTTAAACACATCTGAGGATGGTGACTCCATCACCTCCTTGGGCAGACAATTCCGGAATTTTATCACTCCTTCCATGAAAAAACTTTTTCCTAAAATCTAATATCCATAATATCCTAATAATCATTTAAGTAATTGTAACAGAATACACCAGTTTTCATACTGTGTATCTAGAACTAGAGTGTAGGGATAAAAATGACTAAAAAAAAAAGATTAGGGAGAAGATATTAGATCAACTCTCTTTTTTTTTCCTTTTGATCAGGTATAAATTAATAATTGTAATCTTAAATCAGTAGAGTATAATCCATATTAGCCTTATAGTATCATCAATATAAGCCTGGAAATTTCTTCAGTAGTTCTAAATACTAGAAGGAGGTCAACCTTCTTTCAGCCTTTACCAATCTAAATTCATTGTCAATGCTTTAATGTATGGATCCCGGTAATACAGGTGGTATTCCAGAGAAAGAAATTAATTTTTGCAAAGTTTAATAACTTAATATTTTCTTGTGATATATATGGGTTTAGGGTTTGGGGTTTTGATTTGTTTTGTTTTTGTTGTGTGTTGGTGGTTTTGTTTTTTTGGGGTTTTTTTTTTTTTTGGTTTTTTTTTTTGGCAAATAAGTAATACAAGAAGCTATGTGGTACAACAGAGGGATCTTCACAGGGTTGAGCGGGGAGTCTATGTGAACCTCATGAAGTCGGTAAGGCCAAGTTCAAGATCATCTCTTTTCTCTGGTGACTAAAATTTCAGGACCTGAAGGAACAGTATGAAGCTGTTTAGGGTAGGCTAGGGAGGTTCAGACTGGATATTAGTGGTTGGGCACTGGAACAGGCTCCCCAGGAAAGGGGTTATGGCACCAAACCTGACAGAGTTCAGGAAGGATTTGGATAATGCTCGCAGGCACAAGGTGTGATTTTTGGGGCTGTTCCATGCAGGGTCAGGTGCTTGACTTTGATGATCCCTGTGGGTTCCTTTTAACTCACGGTATTCTAGGGTTCTAGGATACAATGATGCTGAACCTGGATCAGCACAATCCCAAGCACAAGTACAGGGTGGGGAAGCTCTACAGAACTTGGGGATGTTGGTTAATGAGAAGCTCAGCATGAGCTGGAAATGTGCACTTACAGACCAAAAGACAATTTTGTCCTGGGCTGCACCAAGAGCAGTGTGGCCAGCAGGGTGAGGGAGGGCATTCTGCTCCTCTAGTCTTCTCTTGTGAAAACCCATCTGGAATACCACATCCAGCTCTAGGGCCCCCAGTATAAGAAGAACATGGACTTGTCAGAATGAATCCAGAGGTGGCCATGAAGATGATCAGAAGGCTGGAGCACCTCTCCTATGAAGACAGGCTGAGAGAAGTAAATTAGTCACTCTGCAGAAGATTCCAGTGAGACCTTTTACCAACCTTCCCATAACTAAAGAAGCCAACAAGAGAACCGGAGAGGGATTTTTGACAAGACCATACAGTGATAGTGCAAATGCGAATGGCTGTAAGTTGAAGGAGTGTAGGTGTTACAGTGAGCTCATGGGCACTCTGTTCCCCCTTCCCCAGGACCCTGTGACTCTGATCAAGATAACCCTGGACCCCTCCTTCTTGCCCCAACGGGGTTGGTGGAGAACCAGAGAAGCCCACCCTGTCCAAAGTCTATATAGACCCCTGACATTTCCTGTTCGTTCTCTTTTGCCCCGCTCTCCCCTTGGACACCACAGAATAAAGAGAGCTGAACCAACATATCTCGGGTAAGAGCCTCTTATGGAAAACTTTGCCATCTCCTGATATTCCTCCCCTCACAGCCTTGGATCTCTGGGCTAGCCTGGTATTCAGGGGGCTGTGTGAGGGGGGGTACGTCATGTAGGTTTAGATTAGATATGAGGAAGAAATTCTTTACTCAGAGTCACAAGAACAGGTTTCTCAGAGAAACATTGCATGCCCTGTCCCTGGAGGTGTTTAAGTCCAGTTTGGATGGGGTTTAGAGTAACCTGGTCTAGAGGAAGATGTCCCTGCCCAAGGCAGGGAGATTGGAACTAAGTGACCTTTAAAGTCCCTTCCAATGAAAACATTCTGTGATTCTGTGAATAAGGTTCTCTGGTAAATTTTAATATTTTCTCTTTTAGCCTGGCATTCTCATATGATATTCAAGTATTTTCAAAATAATTCAATATATATTCAGCTGACTGCAGGTGTTATATATGTTCAATTAAATGGGTAAAAACACACTTTTTAATCTCCATCTTTTTTTATGGGTAAATTGATGATGAATATGTGGAGTTAAAATGGAAACAGATTTAAAAATATATAGAAATGTTATCGAACACCTTTTGTTACCAAACAGCTTATTGTATTGAGAGTTATAGTACATCAAATGTAAACCAATGCTTACCCACCAAATAATAGGACAAGTATTAGAATTTTGTATTTAGCAAACAGCAAGGAAAAGATCCTTGTGCTACTTGTATGCAGATAAATTAGGAGTAATTACATGAAAAGTGTGGTTTCAGAGCAGCATAAAAACCCAGCATAGGTAGTTCCTACTTTATGGCTGACTACATGCAGCAAATGATACTTGAATAAAATCTACATTCTCCTAGGAAAGCAGTTTCCAGGTGAATCTTTGGTTGCCACAGTGATCCTTTTTTTTTCAGAGGAACAAGATTCCTGATTTCAACTTCACTAAAGAGGTCAAGAGCCAAGTGGAAGAATAAGCCATACAACCACAATGCTCATCAGTGTGGAAACCAACCTTCATGTAGGAACTCAAGGAATTGCAAGACACCATTCTTTCCTTTTTTCGTTTAGCACAGAAGAAGTCAAACCCTTTCATATACCCAGCTATCCCTCATCTTTGGGCAATCTGGGGAAAGAAAGATCTCACTGTTAGCTGTGTCAGTGAGGCTTTTAGCTTAAATAAAAACATGTTACTTTTAATCATCTCTTTACATAAGCCTTCTAAACATTCAGGATGAATCCAGGACTTTTTCAGATAATATAGTATGGTGAATGTCTGAGTCTCCATTGCTAATAGCTCTGACATTATAATTTATCCACTTGGAATAAACCAAATTTGTTTTAGAATTAAAATAATTTGTACTATGTCTTTATTGTTCCCCAATATTTTCATCAGCCCTTTACTGTGTATCCATTCAAGATTCAAATAATTACATAGGAAACTAAAGGGGCTATTAATATTTATAGCACACCTAGGCACATTATTCTGGAGGTCAAAAGAACACAGCATTTGGCATAACACTGCAATTGAGATGTGCTACTGAGCACCTAGGAGTGCTTCACTGCTATAACAAATTATACAGCCTCTCATTCTACACACTTTTTGTTGCTATTATCAGTTAAACTCTCAAAGCAATAATGCTAAAGCACACACCTGGAAACGGTTAATTGAAAAGTTTTTCTCCACAAAGGAATAGGAAATACTGTAACTAATTTGTTCAATTAGTATTTGTTTCTTTCTTGTCAGTAATATTTTTTTCGTATTGAAAATGGACAATAAAAATAAAAATTGCACTCTTTATAGAGGATTGCAAGCCCTGGTAGTACATGCAGGTATATTCAATCTTTAAGGTCTCTTACACAAATTCCTGATCTTACTAGATTTTTTCTCTGTGTTAAGTCAATAGGGCATACATAGGATTTTTCTCAAGCCCACTCTTTTTCTTTGTCATGTTGTATCACAAAATTACAGCTTTCTTCATTATGATGCTTTGATTACTTACAAACATTAACAAAAAATCTTTCAATTATGCTATACATATGCATATATATATATATATATATATGTGTAGTATATTAAGATTTACATAAAGCTGAGATACTCCCATCTACCCACTTAGTTCCTCTTACAGGCATTTGCAGTTAATGGATCATTCCTATCAAGTGTCTGGCTTAAGTGGTCAGGGGTAAGCTTAAGAAACCTGAACTCTCTGGAGGAGAGATTGTTTTCTAATTTAGGCATGCAAATGAGGTACTTGAAGTTAGATAGTGTGAAAAACTACACTATGTTTTAAAAAACCAAACTTTATGGCAGACAGACTTTATACCATAAGGCACAGTTCCTTTTGAGAAAGAATTTTTGTAATGGTTAACAGCCAGAGAAAACTCTTAGTATTACTTTACATATAGAACAGCTGGTACACCCACACACACAAAAAAAATGTATCAAAGGGCTTTGTCAGTTAGAAAATGTAAATACTTCAGTTAAAAAAAGTTCAACACATTTACTTTTCTTTCTTTTATAAATATTTCAGCTAATTACTTACCGCTTTAAAAGCCTCATTTTATCCCTGAAGCATTCTAGAGTTAGAAGCCTTTATCTAGGTTTAGTAGTTGTGGCAGAATGCAGTTTGCATTAAGTGATCAGTAAAAATATGTCAGCTGCATCTGATGTCATGAAACAAGAAACGTCTAGAAACTGCCGATCTATTTGGGCTTAGTGCAGAATCTCCCACTGAATGAGCAAATAAATAGTTCTATTTGTTTCAAGTAAAAGCATATAACATATACTTAATTTGTGTCAAAAATTTCTCCTCAAAAGGTTGCTAACGAATCCACAAAGGAATGACCTGTCAAGACACAAAACTGAGTCTATGGGAAAAAATAGCAGATTGTGTATGTCAAAACTGCTGGCCTGTATTTTGATATGGTTTAGCAGTCATCTAAAATCCCTTTGGATTAGACTCTCAGTGACAAATTTCCAGATAATGGGGCATCATAGCATTCACAAAATTCATTAAGACACATGATTTCTATTCATGAACCCAGTTAGGACTATGTCTTCAAAAATCTCTATAGTAGGATTCATTTACAATATTTTGGAGACAATGAAGACATTTGTCCAGTCCATAATGATCCATGCATATAACTAACTAATAAATGAAGAACTTTCTTCCATTTCCAAGTAAGAAGCTTAATTCTGGGCAAAAAGAAATCTGGTAGGGAAAGGAAGCCTCTGAATAAGCTTCACACTTTATGATCTGGACTGGTATGTGAGGCCAAACATCTGAAACTGTAAAAGACTGGTTTTAAACTAATGGAAATACCCAATTCCTGAATTTCTTATTTATTGAATCAGTAAAGGTACTATAGGCATATCAAGTTTGATAATTTGAAGATCGAAACCCCCTGTTTTATCATGTTCAAATGATAGATTCATGATTCCATTCATATGCATTTACATAGCTTACATCATTGGCAGATTGCATGAAGAAAAAACAATGTATTTCCTGAACACTGTATAAAAACCTCCCTACTCAGAATGCTTCACTATTAATCCTTTTCTGTGTTTGAGAAAATCCTGATTTGCTGTTCACTAGCCATGAGTTTTTGAACTATGTGGATTTTTTTCAATAAAAATAGTCAGAAGAACATGGACATTCATATTGCAAGGCTGCTGTAAAATGAACAAAGCAGGCCTTGGTAAAACAATTTCTGAACATACTGGGAGTAGGAGGGATTTAAAGAAAATAAGTGGAATGAAAAGGAAATACTGAATCCAACTGAAATGTTCCATTTCTTTAGAACTTTATCAGTAAAAGAGCCTATATTTTTAATAAAACTGTAGCAAATTTTAAATTGAAAAATGTATTATGAGGTTTTCTAGAGTTCATTATTTAATTTTCACTTATATGATTATCCCCAGTCTTAATGATATAAAATCACAAGTGTATCACTCAATCCAGTGAAATAGGTAATATTCCAAGACATAATCAAAAAGAAAGGTGTTTGTTGATATACAGGAATATTTAGCAGGTAGTGTCAGGTAGACACTAATGGCTTTGTAGAGTTTCTAACATCGTTCAAGCATATATAGTGAAGGCTGGATTTTGACTGGTCTATGTATTTTTTTTAGCAGAAAGATAGGGAAGTTTTTTAGTATCAGCAAATCTTGCACAACGTGATGACGTGCAAATGAACATCAAAGTTAATTGTAGATGTTGCACACAATTTATAAGAATGTTCCCCACCACTCTAATGTGTATGTAAGAATAGTGGCAATTAAGTCAACTTGCAAGGCACAATATCTGAGTCTGATTTCTAGTGAAAGAAGGCAATATTGTGGGTAATGCATTGATCTTGGACCCAAGAGATTCCTATCTTTTTGACAGCTTTACCACACATTTCCTGTCTGACCTTAGAAAAGTTTATTGTGTTCAAATCCACAAAGAAATATAGTCATTATGTTGTGGAAATAAGAAAAATAAATTGAAAAAAATAAATTCAAGATATAAATCCCTAGAAACTTTAGTAAGTTAACCACAAATATTTCCCAAATATCTTAGTTCTGCTTCTGAATATATTCAGAACTTTTTTCCCTATTGCAGGTCTCAACAGCTTCGTTTTATCTTATCTACCTGATCAAGATGCATGAAGTGGATATGGGTTAAGCAGACTGTTCTAAAAATCAGTAGACAGTACAGCATCTAAAATCTTTGGTAGAATCAGCCTTTAATTTCACAGTGTTACACTACCTCACCTGCAAAGCAGAATAATGTGTTGTATTTTTCTGTGTTTGAATATAGACCACATTGTAAGTTTTTTGAGATTGCTCATTAGACACATTCAGGTGGGGTTTCTACTACTATCTCAGTAATGCCTCACTTTATCTTATTGGATTTTTTCCTCTGTATAAACATTTAAATATCAGTTTGGGACAGAAGGCAGATTCAAAGTCTCATTTCTCTGGATCTACACATGGTAAATGTGGATATGCTAACTTATGTGATCTTTCTGGACAAGGTATTGGAGGCAATTTATATTTTAAAAAGACTACTAAGGCTTCCATGAGAAAAAGAATTCTAAATGTGTATGGCAGCAGGGCAGAGACAGTTGTGAATCTAACCATAAAATAAAGCAAAACAGTCTTTGGTTTGACATTTTTTATTTGGTTTTGCTCTTGTTTTGTTTTGTTTTGTTTTGATTTTATCAATAGACAAAAAGGTACTGATTTTAAAGGCTTAACTAATATCTGTATAGATTGATAAATGTCTGATTTATCTTGGATCTAACATGATCCAGGGCATTTTTAGAAATTACCTCATAAAATATCTTGTGCAATGAATTTTCTTGTCTAATTAATTAAAATGTTTTATAAGATTCTCAGAATTCTAAGTAACTCAGAGAATCAAAATCTGGACACAGTATCAACAAATCAAGTATCTATCACATCTGATCAAAAAGGTATGAAAACTGTGGAATTACTTTCCTGAGACATGACTCTCCTCTGAGAAAAAAATTTTAAACAAACAAACAGCTAAAACTTTTGCAGGTAGAAAGTTGATGGAGTTTTTCTTTCCATTTGCTGTGTGCATTCCCATTAATGATTAGAATATTAGCTAGCATGAACTAGCTAAATATTCCAATGTGGAGAGCATGTTTGAATAATATCATGGACTTTAATAAACTTGATTCAGTGAAGTTTCCTGTAGTTACAGTTAATAGTACTTTAAAACAGGTTTCAAGCAAAACCAGCCATGCTGCAGATCTGTATCATCCTGATCATTGCTTTTGCATTTACATACACAGATTACATTTGCATATCTTGATGACTTATACATTTTAACTAAATTTGATTCCACAGGAGTATTTATATCAAGGGAACATGAACATTTTAAATTCCAACTTAGCTCTAAATTATTGATTTTAGGAGTACTGTGAAGGTTTTGTGCATTACTCAACTTTATGTAAAACGGCCAACTAATGACAATGTTTAATTCCGAACTCTGTGTTCCATTAGATTTATAGAGCTCTCTCAGTTCTGAGCTAGAAGCACAGATATGGCTTTGTAAAAAATTTATACAACATAACATTTTATCATTTTGTTAATTTCTTCAGGATAATATAGACATGTCTACATGGGCTGCAGTACTTCAAAATCCGAGACTATTTTTGGTTTAGTAATTTTAGATGGCATTATGCTTTTATGAAATATATTTGTAACCTGAAATCCAAAAATGACAGACATGGTTTCATCAGTCAATTTAAACATAATATCAAAATGATGTTTCTGAAATTACTTCTCTGAAATATTAAATCACTAAAATGTTAACAGTAACATTCATTCTTCCTTTTGTGATTCCTTTGGACTGCCTAATTTACAAGGAATCACACAATCTGGATTTGCCTTTGAAAAAGAATGCAAGACCAAGATTGCTGCTTTTTGTAGCAAGGAAGAAGATACATATTATCCTTCATACTGGAAGAATAAATGGTACTATCAAGTTCTCACTGATGTGAACTGAGACTGATTATGCATAGAATATAAAAAGAAGTCTTGATGGGAAATGGAATTTCAGGAAATTACACTATTTCTTAAAGAAAGGGGAGAAATGCAGTAAAGTCTATGAGGACTGACATGTACCACAGGGACTGGTACTAACAGGAACATTTCAGGAATTTTAATGCTCAGACATGGAGAGATTACTCTTCTCAAATAATAGATTTTGCTTACATAGCCTAGCAACATTTTTGGATTCATGCTAGCTTTAACAAACATGGAATTTTAACCTAGGAAGTAGTCAGTGAAGTCCTACAAATTCTGATATACATAGAAACACAAAAAGATGCATATGAATGGATGAAAATAAAAAGGATTTTAAAAGGATTTTAAAAGCAAAAACAAAACTAGGATGTGACAAATAGGCATGAAACTTCAGAAGATGAATTGCAGTTCTAATTGAGGACTATGTAAAAACCAAACCCAAATAACTAAAATGCCTAACTAATATTTCAAGCAGGTTGGACAATAAATTAAAATAATAAATATTTCAATTTAAGGGCAGAAAGAAAGGGAGAAAAAATTTAGAAACCAAAAAAAACCAAAAACATAACACAGTTATTGACTAATATTTTTTTTTTTCCCTTCACAGTTATGAAACAGAATCCCACAATGCAGAAATAACTCTGGAAATGTATGTTTAGGAATCATAATAATGGGACCTTCCTCTAGCCCCCAACATCCAGGATCTTTGTAAGAATGAGAGAGAAAGAAAGAAAGAAAGAAAGAAAGAAAGAAAGAAAGAAAGAAAGAAAGAAAGAAAGAAAGAA